GGGAGTGTCAAGAGGATGAGGCCAGACTCTTCTCCGTGGTGCCCAGCAACAGGACAAGAGGCAATGGGCACAAACTGAACCACAGGAAGTTCCACCTGAACCTGAGAAAAAACTTCTTCACTGTGAGGGTGACAGAGCATTGGAACAGGTTGCCCAGAGAGGTGGTGGAGTCTCCTTCGCTGGAGATATTCAAAACCTGTCTGGATGTGATCCTGGGCAATATGCTCTAGAGGTCCCTGCTGGAGCAGGGAGGTTGGACTAGGTGATCTCCAGAGGTCCTTTCCAACCTCAACGATTCTGTGATTTTGTGATTTACATGGTAGACTTGTGCCACCAGCTTTAGGGTTGTGCTGGATGATAAATAGGCAGTGAAAACCTCTGAAGCTGCCTCTTCCACAGCTTTTTGATAGAACTGCAGTTTAAGCTAACCCTGAATAAATAAGCTATACATATTAACCTGCCATAAAATATATACGTCACATACCTTTTTGTTTCTTTCTGGTTCTAGTGGAAGGAAGAGCAAATTGTACTTTAGAAACGGCAGAATGGATCACGACTTAAAAAGACATTATTTACTGGCTTGGGGGTGCCGGGGGCTCCTAGCTTAGAGGAGAAACATTGACTTCTGAAAACTGTCAACAATCTTCTTGGAGGACTGAACAGTAATAATAACATAGTACTCTGCTGCTTTTACTGTTACCAGGAAAGCACAGGAATCGAAAACAAACAGATCCTTAGCAGAACTATTTTAAACCATTGACTTTATTAAAATACTTAATACACAGTTTGTAGAGGAATGTACTTACATTTCATGGAAACTCCATTGAAACCAAATTTTAAGTATATATTTAACAAATGACAAATGATGGAGTCATGCTGTACACCAAAGAGCAGACAAGTTAGGGTTTTTTTTATTATTATTATTTTCCTGGCACAGACTCTTCTTTGCTTCTTAGTTTCAATCTCCGAGCATCTAGTAGCAGAAGAAGGGAGTTTAAATTTCTCATAGCATTAGAACCCATCTGGTGAAATGCCATTTGTTTTCATCAGGTTCTTCATTCTACCCTTCCCAAGTAGCTTCCTTTTCCAGAAAGCACAAGTGATTGGACTCACTGAAAAGCTACCAGGTGTTAGTGCAAGAAGACTTCTACAGTCAGATGTGAATGCGGAGCTCTAAACCAGTTCTCAGTGTCATTACTCTTTCAAAATATTCATTTCAAGCTGAGCATGGAAAAAAGACACTGTCAAAACGCAAGAAGGGCCACAATGCATTCATCAGCTTGGTGGAATACACGTGGAAGACAGCCTGTAGTGCTGCTGCTCGAAAGCAAAAGGTAAATCAGAAACTAAGTCTTGCTGAAATACAAGATGCAGGGGCTCAGAAGGAGACAAAAGGAAATGATCTCGATACATCCTTAGAACAATGAAATGTTCTAACTCATTTAAAATGTTCATCTATGTAATCATCATAGACATTGCAATTACCAGACCATGAAGATCACTGACAAAAAATGTTATGACAATCTCAATGACCAGAGTATAATCTAGGGGAAAATACTTAAACTAAATGAAGAAATAAACAACTGTGTGTTTCAACGCAAGATGCAGAGAGGTTGCATAGGTTTTCACATCAAATTCATAGGGCTCCTTTAGGAGATAATTTTGCAACCTTGCATAGGTGATATTATATCTTTTCTAAAGACAATATGCAGAAAGTATGTACAATTTGATGAACACATTTTTTCCCCTCACTTTTTTACCACAGTATAAAAAGTAACTTATTTAACTTCTTCAGTTCTCTAAAACACATATGCAATATCCCAGAAAAGGACACCAGGAATGCAGGTTGAAACAGCTGGAGAAGCCACCACAAAGCATAGTCTAGTTCCCATAGAAAAAAAAAAATGTAGAAATTTAAATAAGTTTTATGCTTGTAAACAAAATTAATAGAAATGCATTTTAGTTATTACTCCAAATTATTGATGTTCACTAATCAGATTCCTGAACATGTGGATGACTTGTACTTACACATGACAAACTATATAAACAGACAATGAGATCCCTGCTTGTGAAAAGTACAGTAAACTTTAAAATCTGCATTAGTTTGGCTTCTAATTAATCCTAGCTCAGAACAACTCCTCCATTAGACAACCAGAGTGCAGCTTCTCAAAATTAATGCTATGAACAACTGTCGGCACACTGCACCAAGAGCCATCAGGGTATCTGCTTCTTCATTTGGTAAGAAAGTCAGTCAGTCAGTGGATTAGGACGCTATCATAGGACAGCCTACCCCACCTCTGAAGAGGAGCGTCCTATTCCCTGGGATGCTAACTCACTGCCAGAAATGATTTATCTTTGTCCTGCAATTATCTAAAACAGGAGACCTTCCTTGCGACATGGCTCTTTTCCACTGAAATTACTTTCTCCTTTACACAGGAGTTGTCTGGCATTTCTTTTGCCCTTTTGTGCCTGGATCTAAGACGTCGTTATGAGTACTGTTTAATACTCCTGCACATTACAGTGAAGTGTACTTTTTAATAATATTTACAATGGTATCACCACGGAGGAGTAAGCCCTGTACTAGAAACTGTCTCATAACAGAGACCTCAATACTAAGGATTTGGTGTGTATTCCTTATCTACAGAGAAACTTAAAAGCCAAAGCTAGAATCAGCCCACTATACATTTGGTGTGTTAGGTTCAAACAGGGAAAAAAAACCACACACACACATACCCAGCACATTTCCTTTCAAAAGGATGGATGCTATTTACAAGAAGAATTCACTTTTTTAATATTTCAACAACAAAAACCCAACTAATTTTAAAATTAGTGAAATCTAAGAAGGCTTTGTTTTTAAGCAACATAGTGCACAAACAACACTGCTGTTTGCTTTTAAACACAAGTCTCAAGAAATGCAGGGAAACTACGATAAATTATACTACGGATTACAAATCCCAACCAGTTGAATAACAATAATAAAAAAAAACTTTTTTTTTTTTTTAAACACAGCTTCTAAAAAGTACAGCATTCCAATGTTTTCTCAGTTCCAGACTGCTGACATTATAAATTAAAGGTGAAAAGAGATCCGTATATAAACAAGGCAGCTTTCCATTGATTCCACTGTACTGTTTTTGTTTAAACCTTTGGAAATCTCATCTTCAGACACCACAACGTAAGGTTGAATTTTTCAGTTACAAAAGAATGTCCATTCATGATGCGGAATTTGAAAAAAAACACACCTAAGTATTTACAGCCATTCAGATATTTTTTCTTCCAGTCCTCACACTCGCCTTTCACCTTCTGCCCAACTGTAAACACGCTGTCCGCCGAGACCAAGCCTTATGTTATGGTACGCGGCCTCTTGGGTGGTGGGGGTGGCATGAGCTCAGTGTCGGGATCGAGGTGATGCTTGCGCGTTTGTCCTTGCAAAGCTGCCGTACACCTGTCAATGAACTCAAACAGCATCTCCTTTGTGACCGGATTTTGGATACTGTTACACACAGCTGGGGACAAAGAGCATATTCTGAAGTTACTAACCCAATTTGTTGCAGTCAGCGCTCAAACAATCTGACCCCCTCTTTGCAAAATAAATAACGTTAATTTGGCATAAATATTGAGCCTTTAACACGTATTTTCACAAGGCTGTTGTGTCAGAAGTCCAGTGTCTCTGCTTTGCCCCAGAGGACTGTGGAGTACAGAGAGCAAAGTAACTATAAAAAGGCAGTAACTATAAAAATGCCAAGAACTGGCATCCCATTGAGGCAAGCAACAGCAACAAAGGCCTTGTGAAACTTGGCTTTAAAATGCTAAGCAAAGTATAGTCGATTAAACATAACTGGCTAGAACTGAAAAACTTCGAATTAAGGTCACCATTTTTCCCCTCCTAAGTACTACAAATATTATAAAACCACAATGTGCAGTACTTGTTTTATTACCCGCATACCTTCATGTAGCAGAAAGGACATAGAACATCTAGAACGTAAAAAGCTTATGTCTGTAAAAAGATTCAATTCTCTTTAAATAAATGAAATTTTTACACTTTTCACATGCAAATTTAATTTCCTCTAGTTAATCATGAGACTTAGGGAAACGGAAAAAAAATCCCCAAAGAGCAAGAAATTAAGTAGGAATCCTATGACTTATCCTGAAAATAGTATAACATCATTAGAAAATAATGCACAGCACAAAAAAAGCGCCACAGTATGGATGAAAGTTCATGCAAAACAGTCTATTGACTCTACGTTTCTGAACAAAATTAAATCTCCCTATGATTGACTTGAACTATAGCATTGTTACAAGTAACAATCAACATATGATTTCCTGACTCCTAAAAACACTCCTTTTCTGCAGAACCATTCACAGCATTAATTTACAATTAAAAAAAATACCTTCCCAGCATTATTTTTTGATTATCATATTTATTTTTGGTTATATACGTTTGGTGAAAACACGCTTTACAAATTCTATTATATGCGACTTCAGCAGTCAAAAAGCATTTTGGTTGTAAGTAGTTTTGGGGAAAACTTTTTTCAGTTTGAAAGGGATCAAAGTTCAAAAGCAAGAAGGAGTCAGAGACTTATTTTGTTGCTTTTTCAATCAGGGGGAAAAAAATTAAACCGTATTTTTCACAATAAGATAGCAAATAGAGGAGAGAAAAGATATAGAGAAAGGAACAATGGAAGTCCCAAATGAGAAAATGGAACTTTTGGAGATTTCAAAAATGGTCAAAAATGGAAAATGCGACTCAAAAGAAAACTTTCTGTTCTAAAATTTCCCCACAGAAAATGTGAAATGTTTCCTATAAAATACTTCTGTCTGGGGCATTTTGTTTAGGAAGCTGATGATGTTTTGGTGGGAAAAAAACAGGAATAACATTTCAGCTGTTCTAGAAAAGGAGAAAATGGGCAGCTGCATATGCCTTCATGAAAAAAGGAAAAGAAAGAAGAAAGAATATGGTACTACTCAGAATAGAAAACTCCAAGGAAAAATAACTGTTGAAGCAATAAGGTGAAGAGAAGTTTGGGTCCCTGTGGCAAAAAGAAGCCATCGTACTTCTATGAGTTTTGTGGCCCATTCCTCTTCCCCAGGCAGGACAGTTCAGCAAGGATTTCAGCTACATTTTCAGCTGGTTCCCTAAGGCGCCAACAGACTTATCGTCACCTGACGAAACGAACTTTTTTTTTTTTTTTTTTTTTTTTTTTAAGAAAAACTACTCAGGCAGAAATGCAAGTGGTACAATGGTTTAGAGAAAATCCTACATCTTTTATATAAACGTCCCAGTAAATAGCACGGTCTTAAATATGATTAAACCTCATTTTGGCACTAAACAGAAGTCAGTATCAACATGACTATTATTAAACATACTCTTCAGCCTTGCCCACTATCATTCAAATTCTTAAATTCCAACCTGGAAGTAAACAACAGGGTTTTATTTCCAGAACTTGAACGAATGATTTTCTGTAGGAAAACATAAAAGTATCACAATTGTATGGGGATATGCCCTCATCTTTCATTTCTTTCCCTCTTCTTTGCTGGAAATACTATTTTAGGACTTGAGCTGAAATTTTTTTCCTATTAATTTTCTATCCCATCTGACAAATAATGTTTTTGGTGTTTTGAACAGAGGTGAAATCATCACAGATTTTTTGTTCAACTCAAAGTGTGCCAGTTTGCATTACATCCGTACAAGACAATACAGTTCTGGGAATAAAGGTTTGCTAGTTAACTGCTATTGCAGGGCTATTGTAAATAAAAATATCCTTGGATCTCATTTAAAAGGCATATCCTACCATTTAAGAATCTGTCCGAATAAGTGTTTGCAGTTCTGCAAAGACATAGGCACTTGTTTCTCTATTATCTGTGAAATACTGCCTCAGAGTATTTGTTTAACTGACTTCATTAAACAATCCTGTTGAAGCCGAAGGACTCATGGCATACAAATGCTAAACATGATATAAGCCATTTGCAATGTGAGGACCTACTCTTATCAGTTAGACACATCAGGACTCAAAATAGGTATGAGAATGCAGAATACTTTTCCTCCTTAAGGTAGAACAGAGTTAAGAAATTAAACTTGGAACCTGAAAACCTTTTAAAGCAAATTATTCTACTCACCCATGGCAGTGCTGTATGCATTTGGAAAGCTCTTGTCTATTCTCTGTCTCATGAAGACCCAACTGTTGTTTTCAAACTTGCACTCTATAATTTTATTGTCATACTGTTTCAGCTCTTTTGTCACCTGTTTAAAAAAAACAGTTTGGGATAAACATTTTCTTTCATGTTTCTTCTTTCTTTTTGTGATAAATAATAGAAGATCAGAAGCTGGTCTTCATATTTCTCAGTAACATGCCTCCATCCTACACAAAAAAACTGCACAGACTACATCTCCATTATACATATGCTCAGCTACTCAACATTTTAAAAATACTTTTCAAATCTGCTGTCAATATACAGCAATTATATTATGCTAAAACATCAGCAGCTCTAGCAGAGGGGAAAAAAGTCACTTCTGGCCCAAATGCAAATGGGTTTCCATGGGAATAAACTGCTTCCAGTGTAAGTGCTACTGCCAGCCTAAGTGCATGAAATGTATTATCCGTGTTTCATCAACCTTCTTTGTTGAAGGTCTCAAAGTCAAATGTCAGATTTCAATACCAGAAAGAGCTTAGGGAAAATCATTCCACTCCTTATATTATCATGGTTTTTCTTTTTTCTTCATTTTTTAAAAAAAATATAAAATGATAACTCCAAAATAACACAGAATTTCAGATCACATACATTGAAATATCCTTCAGGCCTCCTTGTATTGATTCATAGATTTGTCAGCAGCCAATATCCTGAGTTATTCTGTCCTTCTATTTGGCAATACTGGGTGACTTGGAAGTGTAGTTTGTATGCAATGGACTTCCTAGTTGTTTTGGCTACTTCATCCTATGCATCCTAATCTACGACACAATGCAAAATGTTCAAGTAACCATGGTAACCTGAGATCCTTATCAAATGCTTTTAACAATTTTACCCATACGCTTCATTTTGTTCCAGAGAGTCTCTTCATAAGTATAAACCTGTATTTAACTGCTAGTTGTGCCCAACTCTGCTACAGTTCACCAACCACATAGAAGGTAATACAGTATTTCAGACCCAGTATCCGATGGATAAGTGCTCTTACACAAAGAGATTGGTTATTTCAGTTCATTAGCATATTTTTTCATCTCTGTTGTCGACTTACTCATGAGTAGTGACACATGAATTTACTACTGTCAAAGGGATACAGATTTGAAAAAGGCCATGACTGTCTACAGGCAACTTAATAGCACATACAGTGAAAAAGCCCAAGAACCTGCCCTGCATTAATTTCCAGATAAAGGCAATTAATTAAGGGAACTGCACCCTGAGCCAGGACTTACAGTCCTCCTACACTGCATGGAACAGGTCTGATCCTTAAACCGACGAGCAGAATCATAACATCTTGCTTGGTATTTACTCTGAATACTTCTGTTCATTCCAGGGAGCCCTGGGATTTTACTTGTCAAGAGAAAATAACACTGTGAGACAATTCTGTTAAACCTGCTTACAGCAGAGGCCTGTTACGGTGTAGGGCTGACAGAGAGAGTCAGCGGTACAATTCCATCCCCCACACTATACTTTCATCCCTTCCCTCACCCGAAAAAAGCTTTTCTCTCAAATCATTTAACCTCTCCAACAAAGTTTGTGTCTGCTGATGATCACCTGGATGGAAATAACCAGCTACCCGTATCGTCAATGTTTTCCTTTTTAGCACTCGCTGTACAGCACATTGGTTCTTTATATACATGTTGAAAAGCTATATAGAGTCCAGATGTTTGACTGACACATGCAGTGGACATATTTATGCTTCTTTAGTGTATTCAGGAAAACACAATATCCTTTTCTAACCCGCTCTGGATATATAAACACAGGAAGAATCTTTTGGCTGCACACTGATTTGGGAAGGTATATTACTCTGAAAACAGCTGCACAGCGCAACTGGGGGCAGTGAGGGGTACAACTCTGTGTTCGTCTTTCTGCCAAAGCCGGAAAACGTTGCAAAGATCACCTACTAGAGAGAGATACATAAAACTGCAAGCAATTACTTCAACTAACAATCTCATAAGGCTTTGTCAGAGTTTATCATTCTCCTAGTGTCTGGATGCTCAGAATAGCAATAAATTATGTGGCAGCTCTATCTGACTGTGGCAATTAAGCAGTATTATTAACTATCTGTATAGTTGCTTGGCCATTCATTAGCAATCTGGGAGACAGATCTTTCCAGAAAATATGAACACCTGCCAAAGGACTGACTTAAGTGAATTTTCCTGAAAGGAAAGTGGTGATCATCGTTTTTAACAATTGCAAGTTGTAGCAATTATTTTAGAGAAGAAGAAATACAGCACCTATCGTTTCCTGTATTATGTTAAGTGATCTCAGTCTTGTAAAAGCAGCAATGTTTATCTACATTTTAGGAACTGCTGGGCGTTTGATCAAGACTACAAGTACTCTGAGCCCAGCACACTTGCAGCATTAAAATACTTCTCTACTCCTGTATCTTGGTAGAACCCTACACGCACATCGTCTACGCACAGGACTGAACAAGCCCATAATGATCCTTGTATCTATAATCTGCACCCACACTCTACATATCACCTGCACGCTACTTTCTGGTATTTAGCTTTAAAGAGGGACAGGGAACCTTCAAATCTAACGAGTGTTGCAGTCTGTAAAGGCATCCGAATAACGCACCATCACCTCTCTTCCTGAAAGGTACTTCCTCCAGCTTGCGCTTAACAGAAATGGGAGAAGTGTCTTGAGAATGATGACAGTCCTCAGCCAAAGCAGCAATCCTCATCAGCAGTGATGCTTTTGGTAGGATGCAATGCTTCTGCCATATTGTTGATAAATCCCTCGAACCAGCATTCAGTGATTTTAAGTTGGAAACTTCCATCCCACTAAGGATTCTGTAGAGCCTCCCTTAATTAAATATTTATTCCCTAGCCTATTTTCAGAGAGTCAGTCAGAATCAGAATCACAGAGGAAGACGTATGAGACACGGGGCTGTCAGAGGAGCTGTACATCAGGACACTATTTCTGGTCAGGGCCACAACTGCGTCTTCGGGAAGGACGAACACCAACCTGTAATTTCCTTCCCTGTAAATTACTTCCCTGTGCTCCCCAGGAGGGACACTCGCTGTTCCGGACTGCATTTGATCTAGTTATCAGGAACCAGCATCCTCACTCCACAGGAATCACCTACCAAAAATACAGACTAGCTTCCTGTTGGAAACTCACTACATTACTGAGCTGCATCTCCCTTTCAGCAATAGCTCGCCATCAAATCAGACCTTATGTAATATAAGGCCATGCCCTAAGAATGTCTGATTACATGAAGAATACAGCTATCTTTTCTTCCCTGCTGAAAAAGGTTTCCCGCTGCCATCACTATCTATGTTATTCACTAGGAAAAGCTTTGGGGTGATAATATTATTCCTTTTTGCAAGAATGGAGATAGTTAAAGTTTAGGAAACCTCCCAGCTTCCATTCTCCCTCCCTCCATCCCCAATTTTCCAAAAGAAATTCAAAATACAGAAGAAAGTGAAATATCTAACCCATCTCAAATCATCTCACCCAGCAGAGTATTGTAGTCATTTTGAGCTGAATCACAACAGCTTGTTTATATGCAACCATATCTTATAGTCATTTGGAACACAACGTGGAAAAGTTGAAAAAGTGGAGAAATCAGTGACCTAGAATGCAGTTAGCCCTACTCCTGTGAGAACAGCTGTATTATCTGGCCTGACTACCAACGGTCAAGGATTTTGCATTTACAACCTCATATAGTGCACTTTATCATCAGACTGGGCCATAATCCCACCTGTTGAGTCCTTCTTTCCTTTACTTAAAGCATATGTATTTTCCCTGAAGATTTCATTCAAACATTAGTCTCGTCAGTCCCCGACTAATAAGAATGAAATTCCTGTGTAAGCTACTACTTCATATAAGAGATAATAACAATAAGAATTTAGATTTTAAGGCAAGTAAGCTAGTATTTCAGATAGTATGTCTACAACAGGAAAACTCAAACTTATCAATGGATCTATTTTCCCCACATTCCAGTTCTTTTGAAAGAAAAAAGGAGGTACATTTTTCGATGAATGAAGACTTGACTGAAAGAAGTCCTATGTCACGTTTCTATATGCATAATTTTTCAGAGCAATTAAAATGATTTTATTTCAGTACAATAAAGAACCCACTTTAAAGGCAGGGATGTTTGTAAGGAAAACCTTAACACATTTCCTTTCCTTTCTCTTTTTAAATTGCCTTTTTACTGCACTTTCCCCTCTATTACCAAACATTTATGGAAAGAAAATCATTCTTCAATTCACCTGTTTCTATTGCTTATTCCACCTCTAAAGCCATCAGCCTGTTTCGGAGACCCCAGAAGAAATGATCGTAATGGTAGACAGAAAATGTTAACTTCCACAAGAGAAAATGAGCAAAAGCAGCAGCTGAATTCTTATGAAATGAGAAAGATCTTTATTTTTATACTTTTATTTCTTAATATAGAATAAAAAAAGGAATCAAAATACACACACAAGATAGACTCTAAAGGTAATGGCTTTCTATTTTCTAAGCAGAATCTGCTTTCATAATAGCTGACATGCACAATGAAGCATTCCTTTTTGCTATGCTCAGATACACAAACCGGTTTTCTTTTTGTTGCTTTTTTTTTTACACAAGTCCAATGGCTGGAGTGAATAAAAGTTTAGTGCTGCCACGTCAAGTCTGGAAAGTAATTCTCCCTCTTTCTGATAACATAACTAACTTCCCTCTATTAAGATCTATTTTCATGGCCAAAGCAAACAAAAGAGTCAAGGCAACACATCCCAAAATAAGCCACCAGCTGTTGGTACATAAGGGGGAAACCTTTGGGTTGCTTCCCAGTCTCCGGCTGCAAGAGTGCTGACGCCCACACCACTAGGCAGCCATCCCGCAAAAAGTAAACCACATTTTTCTAAGGCAAGTGTCAAAAGAATTTGACATCTGTGAGCTCCTGATCCTCGATGTTTCAGGGTACACTCAGGCACAAATGAGAGTTTAGGAAATGAGACCTCTCAGCAGAATAGCACATCTCAAATCCTGACTTCTACACTACTTTCAAATGCTGTGACTGCCTCACAACACTCCTGTAAAGTATTAAAAAGACATCATTTGAAAACGTCTCAA